CCGTGTCAATCATCCTCTGATATGTCGCGCCGGCGTTCTTTAATCCGAACGGCATCCCAACGAAGCAGAAGTTCCCGAACGGTGTCATGAACGCCGTCTTTTCTTCGTCTTCCACCGACATAGGGATCTGGTGATATCCGGAGAACATGTCGAGGAAAGACAACGTCTCATGGTCGGCAGTTGCGTCGATCAGCTGGTCGATACGTGGCAGGGGATAAGGGTCTCCCGGGCACACTTTGTTTATCGTGGTGTAATCGACGCACATCCGCCATGCTCCCGATGACTTCTTGACCAAGACCACGTTTGCCAGCCACTTAGGGTATTTAACGGGTCGAATCAACCCGGCTGCCAGTAGGCGTGCCACCTCCTCTTCTATCGCCTTTAGTTTGTCGCCAGTGAAGGATCTCCGCCCTTGTTGCTTTGGCTCCGCATTGGCTGGGACTGCGAGGTTATGTTGCGCTACCTCTCTGGGCACTCCTGGCATGTCTTCTGCGCACCATGCGAACAGTTCTTGGTACTCCTTCAGCAGCGTCACGAGTGGCCCGATTGCGTCACTGCTGACGTGGGTGGAGATGCGTATTTTCCTGGTTGGCTCGGCGGGATCCAGCGCAACCTCGAAATCGGAATCCATGGACTCCGGCCGGGGTTCTTCCGCCCTAGTGTCGACGATGTTGGTTTGTCGAGCCACAACGCGGTCCTCCCATGTCGTCCCTCGCGCTTCTCCAACTCCTCTCTGTGTCGGGAACTTGAGCTTCTGGTGGCACGTCGACGGGAGGGCCATGAACTTCGCAAGGAAAGGCCGGCCAAGGATGCCATTGTGTGCTGATTCACAATTGACGATTGTGAACTCTACCTGTTTGGAGACGCGTGGTTCCTGGTCGCCGATCACCACAGGGAGGGTGACCACTCCAATTACCGGGACTTTGGTTCCGGAGAAACCGACCAGGTTACCTTGCGCGCGCCTGATTAGGCGCGGGTCGATGTCCATTTTGTCAATGGTGCTCTGGAAGAGGATGTCGGCCGCGCTGCCTCCATCTATCAAGAGGCGGTGGGTCTTGCAGGCGGCGATTAGCGCGGTGATAATGAGTGGTTCCTCGGATGGGACTCCTTGTGGGAACTCCGCGTCGTCGAAGCTCAGATTGAACTTCGTTGGCGCGTTGACGGCAGCGCACTCTGCTGCACGCTCACGTTTGGTTTTCTTCTGGGGACGGTCTCCTTCAACTGTCACCACCCCGATCTCTTTGCGCACTACATACGCGCCTGTGTCTTCATCATAGTCGGTTTGCGGTGGTGGCGGCGGCGGGTGTAGCGGTGCCTCAGCTTGCTCTTTCTTTACGTGAACAAACTCGGTTAGCAACCCTCGCCGTACGAGGCCCTCTATTTCATACCTCAGCTCTCTGCATTCTTCCGTCCGGTGCCCCGTTGCTCTGTGGAATTCACAATGCGTATGTGGGTTGCGCATGTGGGGTTGGGATTTCAACGGGGCAGGCCAATTGAGCTTGTAGCCTTTCTCGCGAAGGACGTGAAACACATTCCTCACGGAGTCATTTAGGGGGGTGTAGGCGTTGGGCGCGCCGCGCCTGTCGGGTGATCGACCGCGCTGCGCCTGTTCCGGTGGGGGAGGAGGAGGAACGCGCTTTGGGCCACTGTGCATCTGCAGCAGTTGGTCGCGGGTGACTGGAGCTGGAGCCTGGCGGCGCGCCTGTTCTTCTCGTGGCATTTTTGTTGGTTCGAAGCGCCTGACGGACCCTGATCCCAAGGTTTCTTCCAACGTGATTGCCTTTTCGATCTTCATTTCCAATTCTGTGGACAGCGTGACGGGCCTTTTTGCCAACGCCCGCTTAAGCTCCATATTGTTGGTGGCCTCCATGAGGTGATGGGCGGCAGTTTCGGGGGTGAGGTCGCGGACAGCCATCGCAATCCTGGACCATCTGGCGTAGAAGGCCCTCAGGCTTTCTCCATCCTTTTGCCTGATATCTATCAGGGCCTTGAGGTGAAGGGGGCGTCGTTTCTGGGACGCGAACTTCGTGGTGAACAGGAGTATGAACTCTTCGAACGAGCGGATGATCCCGTTTGGGAGGCGGTTGTACCAATCGAGGCATATGCCGGCGAACGTCGACGGGAAGGTTCTGCACAGGGCGGCGTTGGAGTTGGTTTGGAGTTGCATACGCAAGCAGAAGGTGCTTACATGGTCTTCCGGATCCGTTGTGCCGTTGTAAGTCGGGAGGATGGGCGGCGCTCCGGTTATGTTCTCCGCCATTATTTGTGCGCTCAATGGCTGGTGAAGGACCCTTTTAGGCGGGATGGGTCGATATTGGGGAGATAGGTGCTGCTCTAAGAAGCTGAGGTCTGTCCGCCCCGGTAGATCGATCCCCGGCGCTTCACCCGCGGGAAGTTCTGTTGGCGCGTGTTGGGGGAGTTGAGCTGTCCCCGATGTTTCTCCTAAGGCCTGTTGAGGTGCGTCCACCAGGGCTTGTTGAGGCGCGTCCACCAAGGCTTGTTGGGGCGCGGGCGCTGTCGCGCCTGTCGTTAGCGCGCTTTCCCTGCTCATCATGAGCGTGATGACTTGGCTCATTTGTTTTTGCATGTCGGCTATGACGTTGTTTTGTTTCCTCAACAGCTCCCTCATTTCCTTGGCCGTCAGCTCGGGCTCCTCTTCTTCTATGAGCACGGCGTTGAGGTTGCTGGCTTCCGCGAACGCCCTCGGGTCAGTCATTGCCTTGATCGGCGTCGCTTGGTCAGGTTGGTCGTGGTTGTGTTCTGCCATTGGTGGATTTTCTTCAGCGTTTCTTCTTGGCCCCACGGTGGGCGCCAATTGTTTGAACCTAACTGAGTGTAGGAGTGAGGTTCGTGTGAGAGTTCGGGTCAAGAAGGAACGCTAGGATCAAGTTTAATTGAAGGAATAAGAACTGACGAGTCGAGTGAGGAATCAAGGTTCGAACTTTTAGAAAGAGAAGTCGTTGCTATGGAGAGAGAATGGTGCCAAAAATGCGATCCCCTCACCCACCAGAGTAAATGCCATATTTATAGGCTACATGGTGGTGGGTGAGTGGGTGGACTTCGAGACGGTACAACGACGTGACTGCTGATGTGTCAGGGATTTAGGCCATCCCCTAACCTAGGACCTGTCAGAGGGTTGTCCATGATTTGTACTCAAAAGTCTTGACGTGACCTTCCCTCGGGAGACACAATGACGCCCTCTCCGGCTCTTGAGTTCGGTTGCCGCCTTGTCTTCCATTCGCGCGCATAGACTCACTCTTGCCGCGCGCGAGGTCTCGACGCTGTCGGACGTGTCGCGCCGTGTTTGTCGTGGCGTGCGGTTTGGCGTGCTTCTTTGGCGCGGGAGTGATCCGAGTCACATGCCCAACAAAGGTGATGTTAAAGAAAATGGTTACATTATATTCAGATTCAAATGAAACTTAGGCCACTCCCCACAACAAAAGAAGAAAAGTGATGACGAGAACACAGCTAACATACAAGTTTACTTTAAACATAGTAATTGCCTTTTTCTCCAACGTTCTTCAATCTCACAATAGGAACCCAAAATGAATGATTCCAACAGATACTTTACTTGTAACCCAATCCAATCCCTTTCCCCCACTTACCTTCCTCTCTTATAGACCCCTTTTCCAGTTTTTCTCCAACTTTTTGGACGGCTAAATTTGTCTCCCACTTTACTTTCTCCCACCCAATTGCCTTCAAGATTCCTTCATTACCTCCAATCTTTACCATCATTCCTTCTTATAAGAAAACCCATTTGCTCCCTTACCCCAAATTCCCCCCTCAGAGCATTCCATCTCAAGTTGGATTTCTTCCCCTCTTTCAGAGAGGGAGAAAGAAGAACCAACCAAAACAGAGCTAGCATAACACCAATGGCAAGTTCCAATTCTCACTATGCTACCCAAAACTCTTCGTCTCAAAGAGGGCTAGCCATGGTGTTAGCTCTCACATCCGCGGTGGTGCTATCGCCGCTATATGCCAGCAGAAAGAATGACCATTCGTCGTCGCGATTCTACCCCTATTACGAGCCCGGTTGGAGCTCTGGTTTGGTCCTCCCGATGCTCCTGGCAGGGTTGATCATTGCAATCAAGACCACGTCATCGAGCAATGGAGGTGGGAGGTCATTTGCGCCGTCGCCGGACCCTTCTTGGGTGCTTAGGATTGGGAGCTCGTCGTGGGGGCTTGCCGGGATATTGGTTATGCTCGTGCTTGTGTTGTCATGGCAAGAATCTGCTCAGCATTTCTTCTGGAGATAGAGCCATGATGGAAATGTAATGTAGCACCTATGTATATGTACTATATGTTTTGGACCCTATTAATTAGTTTCTTTTCCTAATGTCATAGGCTATGTTTTCGTATTTATGTACTATGAGTTGGGGGGAGCTTGTGTGCCTAATGAAGCTAATTTTATGTTGAAGGTTATCGTTTTAATTTCGAGATGGTGATGTTCCTTGAGGCACATAAATACCATGATCCATTAGTCTTACACTTACGTTGTTAATGAGCCGATCCGAGCCTAGTCGAGTTTTGCCTTGTTCATGTTCGGCTCGTTTGTAAACGAGCCGAGCTCGAGCCCGACTCGTATATAAATTAGTCGAGTCGAGTCGAACACGAGCCAGCTCATTTATACAATCTTGACACATTATTAAGATCGAAAGTTCGGCTCGAGTCAACTCTAAGATAATTTATAATATAAATACCCTAATATTTATATGTCATATGTGATACAAGTGATTACCTAATGTTATGTCATATATGAGACGTATTTACTTACATATACTCAATGTATTAAAGACCATATGAGGTGATATATACAATTTAATAATTATATGCATCATTAACAAACCAGCTCATAAAATATAGATTGATTTTCTCATAAGTTGTACTCAAGTTGACTCTCTAGTCACAATGCTGGGACATCTCATAAGCTCAAAACGAGACAGTTCATGAGTTATATTAAACGAGCCACCTAATCGAGCTAGTTCACGAGCTTCAAGAGGTAGAGCTTAAACTCAACTCGTTTATTAACGAGCCGGCCTTTTTTTTAATTGAACGAGCTTTTATCAAATTCGAGACTGAGCCGCTCACGAATAGCTCGGCTCATTAAGAGCCTTGTGCCTAAAAGCTTTGATTACAATATATCGATACAATTCATATATCACCACTACTTTGAGATACTACTACAGAGGAAAATGTCTGCGGTTTAATTTTAACAACTTTCGTTGAACTCTAACAAAACTATACCATACGTGAATAATTACATACATGCACCTCATACATATACACTACTCGTTGTAAGAAATTACAAACACTCAGAATCTTCATATCTTCCGACGGGACCAAAAGCTAGTCAAAGTTTGGTGGCAGAGAAACTCTCTTCCTGGTCAAGAGGGTCTCAACGGTCGGACATTTCCTCTTCATCCCGCCTCTAGGTCTTGATCGGAACTGCTCGTCAGATTCCTGAAAATCGCCCTGTGAACCCAACCAAACAGAGATCTGAACAATCAGACTTGTTCCATTCCATCTGCTAGGGCTTGCAGGCAACACAAGGTAAATTAGACTTACGCAAGAGTAGACATGGCACCCGGATTTTTCGTGATTATCCCTAACATGCTTGTAGGAGAATCTCATGCCACAGCCAGGGAAACTGCAGCCAAAAGGCTTGACGTTGAGATGAGCAGCCTTCACATGCTGGTTGAGATTAGTTTTCTGGTTGAGAGCAAAACAGACTCAGTTTGAGAGAGCCAAAAGCTATAAGGGGAATGAATTTCCTGCTCTGATGTATGAATGTGATTCCTTACAGATGAAAACGTGAGACTACAGCCTTCATGGTGACACGCAACCCGCTCTGTTGTCTCGCTGCCTGCTTCGTGGCTTCTCATATGTCTCTTGATGTTCTTCCGCAGTTGCTTCGAACCACAAATCTCACAATTCATGTACCTGTGGGCTGTCTGGATATGGGCTCTCAAACATTTTTCGTTCGAGAAATGCTTGTTGCAGCCCGGTTCTAAGCACATGGCTTCAACAGAATCAAGCTTCACTGCATCATAAGATGAAGAGTAAGAATTATTAGAAATGAAGCCAAATGGATTCAGGGTAATGACAGAAAATTGATGTCAAAACAAGGGCACTTGCCATGAGAATCCTGATGTTTTTTAAGCCTCGATGGATATTTGAAGGCCTTCCCACAACCAGGCTCCTCACAAACACATTGCTTTGAACCTCCAACGTCATTGGATGATTCACTGTGCATAACTTCAATATGCCTCTTCACATTGCCTTGATACATGAACTCCATGCTACAGCTCTCAATTGGACATTCGAAAAGCTTCCCTTCGTGCTGGAGGGAATGCCGAGTCAGGTGATCTTTTCTACGGTAACTTGAATGGCAATCTTCCACTGGACATCTAAATGGCCTCTACAAGAAAGAAAGAAAAAATAAAACAGATTTCAAACTCCTAGGATACAAGAAAACAGAGTATAATAATGAAAAGGCTTCTCAACACAATATGATGACAAACTAAAGCGATAACCACTGCCAAACCTTGATATTTCTAGTGCGTGATTCGAGGCTTTCGCCTTGATGGAGCTTCTCAGGAGGTCACCCAACCTGATACTAGTCCAACAAAGTCCGCTCTTGCATTTTGGAGTTCTGTGATATGGGATCCAATGCTTTCACGCCGCAACAAATCCAGTTAAGTCGTTTTAATTACTTAAAACAACAACAGCATAAATTTCCTGCAACAATCATTCAAATCTCAATATCCAGCTTCTTCAAAATTATATATAAACTAAGCAACACAAACCCACAAAATTCAAAGGCCATCCGAAACCAAATATATCTCTAAGATTCGAGATTCCTCAATAAGAATTCACACATCAATCTCATCAATGGCCGATGAAAACCCCCGTCAGACAGACGAGTAAATATTAAGACTTTTTACCTCAAGCGAGTGACTCAGCAAGTGCTGTTTCAAATACGCCGGCTTCCTGAAGCTAGCCCCGCATTCCTCACAAGTATTGGATTTCTCCTCTTTCCCTTCTCCATCTGAATCTTCCTCGCTCATCTCTTCCTGAAAACATGAATTGAAGGAATTCGATTAGATCACAGTACCACCGAATCAAATAGAAACAGCTTAGAATCACCCGAGAGAAAAGTTACCTTGTGATGGGAAAGGATGTGAGACGCGATGAGAGCCTTCTTGGATCGGCAAATTCCACAGTATTTGCAAAAGTGTCGTCGGATATCTCTGGGTTTCGGTGCATCTTCTTCTCCTACCTCCATCTCTTCTTCTCCTACCTCCATCTCTTTCTCCATCGTTTTACCAGCTTCTGCTTCTCCTACCATTTTCGGAGCTCGGTCGCAGCGAGAGGACAGGGGAAAGACGAGAAATTTGCTTACTGGTACTCCGCAGCTGCTGGGAGAACACTAGGGTTTTGGCGAGCTTCGTTATAGAGTGGGAGTAATTGGGTTGGAGCCCGCCATTTTCATTCAGTGTAAACCTATATAGTTTCTGTAGAGCCCATGGCAAAGGAAAGCCCAATAGTGCAATTCAAGGCCCAAAAAAAAATTCTCATTCTCCAACTACTTAGACAAATACGTCCTTAATAAATAGTTATTACCTCCAGAAGTCCACCAACTATGTCATTTATTTATCGGTTTTAATTCTTATGTTAGAAGTTCCATTCAAATTCCCTCTCCTTTTTATAGCGAGTGCCCTTCTCTTCTTCTTCCGGTTCCTTCCCGCCGGAGCTGAGTTGTTCGGTAACTCGCCGGATTCCGCGCCCCTGACTCTGCCTAGCTCGCTCTCCCGGCGCCATCTCCGAAGTAAGTTTTCCCGGATTCCAGTCGCTTCAATCAATCCCAAATCCTAATGTAGTTCTGCTCCTTCCTCATGGAAAACAAAGCTCTGAGATTTGAAATTCAAACTTCTGAATGCTTACGGGGAAAAAATGAAAATTCCATAGCTATCTCTGCTGAATTTTCTATTTCTTAGGCTAAAAACTGGTTCTTTATGCTCAATATCCAGCTTCCCATTCATTTCAATTGTGCCCCAAACTTGCCCTTTAGGAGAATTTTGGTAAAATTTGTATCAAGAGTTGTTAGGGTTTGGAGAAAATTTCCCCTCTTTGCTAACGGATGATGTTGATGTAGGGGTTTCCCCCCAGCGGCAAGAAAATGGCCGAGGGAGATGAGGAGATGCCAAGAGATGCAAAGATAGTGAAGTCGCTGCTGAAATCAATGGGAGTTGAGGACTACGAGCCCCGTGTTATCCACCAGTTTCTGGAGCTCTGGTATCGTTATGTCGTCGATGTGTTGACAGATGCTCAGGTTTACTCGGAGCATGCTGGGAAAGCTGCGATCGACACGGATGATGTCAAGCTTGCTATTCAGTCCAAAGTCAACTTCAGCTTCTCACAACCGCCACCAAGAGAGGTATTCAATTCAATTAACTTTCTCTAAGCTAGTACAACCATATCATTTGAGTTAATAGCAGCTTATGCGTATACTCGTACATGGCCATATCAATCTCATAATGTCTTGTAACTAGAAGTTAACGGGTGGGGGAAGTCTACAAAATTAAGTAGAACAGTGGCTAGATCGCATAAAACGTTTGTCAAGGGATAGAAGCTTTGCCTGCAGCTTGTACTAATAACTCTTATATCGATTTAGGATGAGATCAAAGTTTCAATCGGCTTTGTCTGAGATTGTGCATTCTGAACTTCTCACTTATTCATAACTGCACCTGGAGTCCTTGTCTGGATTGGTAGAACTCGTATTGCTATGTCTTTCTTTGTTGGCTCATAGATTCTCTACATATGAATTATGATGAACATTTCCCTGTGCTAGAAACCTAGATAACAGCACAGTACCTCTGCTCTCCGTGGCCAATCACAGTACATAAATTAAGTTCAGCCACCGATATATTAGTTCATGTAATTGGCCCGTTATCTTCCCTCTTTGTGGGAATGTAAAGACCAGTTTTCAGACTCTTTGATAGCTTTTTTCATCTCATCAGGTTTTGCTGGAGTTGGCAAGGAACAGAAACAAGATCCCATTGCCTAAGACTGCCCCAGGTCCCGGTGTTCCTCTCCCACCTGAGCAGGACACACTGATCAGCCCCAACTATCAATTGGCTTTCCCCAAGAAACAGCTTCCACAAGTAGAAGAGACGGACGAAGATGAAGAAATGCCTGATCAGAATCCTTCTTCACAGGAACCAAATACTGATGTGCCTCAACAGCAGCAAACCCCTCAAAGAGTCTCATTCCCTCTTACCAAACGACCCAAGTGATAGATAGCTGATAGGGTAGGACAGGAAAGTTTTTTTTCATGAGTACTCCTTTCTGTGCCTGCACTCAGTTGTAACTTGTAAGATACAGATTAGAAGCCTGGGGCTTATCCGTACTGAATTAAGCGTTTAGTAGCAAAATGGGTTCGTCTTCCCAGTTCTATGTTTAGATTCTTATTCGTGCATTTCCTTTGCATGTTCGGAGTCGACGTTATGAGTTCGAGTTGTGTTAACTGATTAGATGGACTGATACAGAGCAACTGGTGTTGACAAATCAGTCAGTTGACTCAGTTCGGTTAGCATTCTGTGATGACCGTAACTCAATCGTCGGATCAAGAACTTTGGATACTGAAACCAGTGACTTGTAGTGCTATTAAAGAAAACTTGTGGTAAGTGAAATAAAACAGAACAGTAATCTTTTCATTTAATGAGGGGAACTTGGAAACCCAGCCAGGGCCGATTTCCACAACCAGTTTAACCAATTTCCCCATTTTTTACAATACGATTACATTACATCTGTTCTTCTACAACCAAACATGTATTTACAAGGAAACAAACCAATTGTTACTATGAACGCTATTCATTCATTCATTTGGATCCAAATGAAGTAGTAGTGTTATATCAACTTCTCCATCCAGTAGTAGTTGTAGGCGCTGTGCTCGACGAAACGCTGCTCGTCGTCTTCAAACCCCTGTCGTACATCCGCTGTATCTCTTCCCTGTACTCGGTCAGAGACTTATCGGGAATGGTGGGGCTTAGCTCCACAACATCTCCCATCTTCAGCTTGCAGGTAGGATCGCTCACTGGCTCGTGGTTAAGTTTTGGCCGCAGTTCTTCTTTGGCTGGGAAGCCATATGGCGACCATCTCGTGCTGCCTCGCCCGGCTCTCTCGAGCAGGTCTACGATGGAGGAGTTTGCTGGGAGCTCCTGGACCGACATCTGCAGTTCAGAAGAATCCCGGTTGGCATTGTCAAATTTATCGGGAAACTAAGAAGCGTTAAGCCATGAAATAGGAGGGCAGAAAGCAGTGCTAGCCGAACCTTATCATTCTCGATTATGATGATGAACACGGGTCCATCTTGGCCACAGAGAGGCTTGCAGGAATACCTGCAATCTTCTGAATGGACAGGGAAGGCACAGGGAGGTTTCACGGAATCAGCAGCATAAGTGATCGACGAGGACCGATCTTTGTTCATTGTTTCACACTGCCAAGTCACTACCCACCGAGCCCACTCGACCATCTGCAGGACGAACGAGGAGTGCTTGCAGTCGCCTTCCTTGTACCTCCAGTGCGCGGCAAACCCAAACTCAGCCTGCAGATGCATCTCTTTTGTCCGGATCTGGACCTCGAGTGGGACCTCGTCATCGCCTGTGACCACAGTGTGAAGTGACTGGTACCTGATGAAAACACGGCAACTCCGGTTACTTACAAGAGAATAAATGCAGAGATGACAGATTTAAAACGAGAGAGAAGATAGATTTACCCATTGAACTTGGGTTGACTTATGTAATCCTTGAACTTCCCAGGTACTTCAGGCCACAACTCGTGGACGACTCTCAGTGCTCTGTAGCAGTCTTCCTTGTTTTCGACGATCAAACGGAGGCCATGGATGTCATGGATCTCGTCCATCTTCAGCTTTTTCCTGAAGAAACATAAAATTCAGGATTACAGTCGGAAACAGAATAAAGTCCTTAATTAACTACAAACATCATAAGATAGTAATTTTTGAAGATTTTTTAAGATCCATGCAAGGCTTGTTTCCCTTCTCGAATTATAAAATCATTAAATTTAACTCGGGCCTTTACTGACGCCTCAGCAGCAAGACAAAACTCACAAATGGTGAAACATCACCAGCACATAGTTCATGGCCCTTCACATCTTCCTAATTTATCAATGAGATTACTGCATCTCATAAAGGTACTTCAAGCTTTCTAACAGGATACGATGCTTTGCTGGTCCAGGGGGAAACTTAAGGAAAGTAGTAATCTGATCCAAGGACTTTCTCAAGAAGTACATCAACAGTGGTCCAATTTAACACTTGACACGATACTCCAACTATATGAGAGAGCGCGCAAGAGAGAGAGCTAAGCTTACTTCAACATCTTGCGATAAATGCTGTACAAGCTCTTATGTCTCCCAGAGAGCACATGGTAGCTTATGGCTTCGTCCTTCAGCGCTCGATCCAATTTATCTGTCGCTGCAGTAACCACGGCCTCATCGAAAGACTTCACCAGTTGTGAAGACAGATCTTTATGTTGATCAGGGTTCAGATGCTTGAAGCACAAGTTTTCCAGCTGGTCCTTCCACGAAGAGATCCCTAACCGGTTGGCCAAAGGAGCAAATATTTCAAGAGTCTCCTTAGCAAACCTCTGCTGCTTGACCAATGGCAGAGCATCCAGTGTCATCATGTTGTGCAATCGATCAGCTAATTTTATCAACACTGCTCTGGCATCAGCCATTGCTAGAAACATTGTATGCAGACGATCTGCCTCGACAGTTCTGCTGGCAGTGTTGTTCTCTCGTGCCAGCTTACTCAAATGGCTAAGCTTCGAGACCTGAGTAAGTGATGACAAAGAATCATGTCAGGAACTGTAATTACTGGATTCCAATCCAACAGCGATACTACATTTTTTCCTTCATTCTCAAAGTTAATTCAAACAAAAGAAGACGAGATTGTCGAATAAAATACACTACTTCCCAATCAAAATAATCATGTCAGATTCAAAAGGTCAATCAAGGTATCAACTCAATGAAGGTCACCAATAACATTAACATCACACCCCCACAACAGTCACCAAACTCGCTGAACACTAAACACTAAGAATGAGCCATCGTAAATTACTGTCATCTTACCCCTTCAACCAAATCAGCCACTCCAGCACCAAACGTGCTGCAAATATGGTCATAGCTCAAGAATGAATCATCGATCGTATCATGTAAAAGACCTGCAGCAACCATCGTGGGGCTAGCACCAATCGTTGCAAGCAAAACTGCGGTTTCCACGCAATGCTGCAAGTAAGGATCGCCACTCGCCCTCATCTACAAATGAACGAACAAAAAATACACACTTTACAAATAAGAACACATCACCAACATCAATTTATACAAATGAAGGTGGAAGAACCTAGATTTCAACAGCGAATACCTGTCCTCTATGAGCCTTCTCGGCCTCGTGGAAGGCCTTGATCACATAGTCATCTGTGAAGATCTTGTGCCTCATTTGTGCACCAAGCAACAACTCCTTCGCATATGGCTCGTAATCAGGCTCTCCCA